ACACACACACACACACACACACACACACACACACACACACACACACACACACACACACACACACACACACACACACACACACACACACACACACACACACACACACACACCTAGTAATGAGCTGCTGCTGCCTGGACGTTCTAAGGCGAGCTGCTGCTGGCTGGCCGGCCTAAGGTGAGCTGGTGCTGAATCGATCGCGCCAACGCGTGTAACATGTATCGTGCTCGCTGCTGGCTACACACACACACGAACATCACACGAGAGGGATCACATTAGCTCCGTTGCAGCGGAGCTAATAAACGCACATATGGCAATCTAAATATGCCAGAAGCACGTGGTTATCTATTGATTTTTGGGTTGACACTATTTTGAGAATGGCGGGTAAAAACAGGAACGTTTTCGCAACGGTGATGGTAAATTTGACAACGGCTTTGCGCTACTGTACCTCTTATGTATAAGAAACCCTGTGTCAGTGCGATTCGTAACTGTCGACGTATAAATCAGAAAATATTTCTAAATAATGTATATTATGTATAACTTGTGGTCTAATTACGTGTTCTGAAATAACGTCTGAAAATAAGTTCTTTGACGTAATTGACTGCGATTAGCAATCAGAGTTGCCTGATTGCCCGACGTGCTTTCTAAAATTCCTGGGTTGAACGTTGTAGTTAGGAGAGATTGTTCCCAGACCGCTCGGAATGCATCTATGTTGGTGTTTTGACGGCGATGAGGCTTTGTGACACACGGGTGTGATGACTCGTATCAACGGGGCGATTGCAATCGAGGACGTTGCGCTTTCAGGTTTATCTGGTTCGTCAGCCGAAGTCGAAAAAGAAGCTGCTGGTGCCGTGTGAGCTAGTGAAGCCAAACCCTGCGTGTCCGGTCTGCTCGGAGAAGCACGAGGTATGATGGCTACAACGATGGGCATAATGCGAGGTAGCTCGCTACTGCCACGCGCTACAACTTGTGGCACTCGATCCATGCGAGTCTATAAGTAATTAAATTTAAATTAATAAATAAAAAATAATTAAGTAAATTTAAATTTTTAATGTAATTAAAAAGTATTTCTACAACTTGTAACACGTATGTACATTGTGTAACACATTGTACAACATATAAGAGACATTACCTACCTTTAACTAAAACGTGTTAAATAGGTAATTGGTCATCTAGGCACTTAATTTGCGACTAACTAGTTTTCATCACTAACGACTTATATGTTTATTGACAACTAGGTTCTGTCAGTGCTAAAACGTATCTATGTGGTAGTTGCTACATTATTATATTTAGTTACTAACGTTTATCGATGACTTGGTAAATCAATTTGGTTTGGTGTTTATACTGACGGTCGGTAGTCTCCATGCGTGAGTCACAGGAGAAAGTAACGAATGCTAGTCTGTTATTGATGTTGTCTCCTAACTAGGTGACTGTGAGGTTGAACTGTGAGACCACAACTGTGAAAACACTGGAGGAGAAGGTCCTGAAGGATGCTCTAACGATGGTAGCTCCCGATGTAGAAATAGAAGATGGCAAAGGTAAGAAGATTGTTGGAGGTTCAATATAGCGACATCAATATTTGATTTGACTGCCTAGCTGAATTCTATATGTGCACCCTGAGTTCTATACACCCAACTTTCCTGCCATTCCTCCTTTTACATTTGTGTTCATTTCATGTTGAGGCTTTTCAACCAAACAATCATGTTTTCCGGTACTTTGGCAGTTTGGTAGGCTCTTCAGTGTAGGGATAAATTAGCTTTGGGTAATTTTGATATATTTCCTTTGTTTTATAAATAACCAAGTGATGTTTTGGCATGTCTTCATGTTGAATGTGAAAGAATCCTTTTAGAAAGTGTCTTGTAATTGTTTCACCTTGACATTGCTTCCAAATTTGCAAAACGATGACCAACGACCATTCTTCATTTGATTTCAGGCACTATTCTGATCTCAAGTGAGGAAGGAGAAACTGAAGGTGATTATATGTTCAATCAAATGTGGATCAATCAATGTGGCATTGTGCTGAGGTTATACTGCCCTTGTCATATAAGAATATACCTTAAACATTTTATGTGTCATCACAGTAATTGAAAACATTTTTTCATTAATATTCAAATTACCTTCAGTTATAACCGGATGGTAATGCCGTTGTGGTCTTTTATCATTGATCAGTGTTATAAGCATGTGTGATTGGTCCAACCCCTGCTGTAGTCAGGGTCCCGTTGTCAGAAACATCACAAAGTTAATGCTAATGTTAATGCTGAGATGGCACCAGTGGCTAATCTAGCTGCTTAGTATGGGCACCCATGGCGAGTGTAGCAAGCATAAAAAATTATATATATACTTATCTATCACATTAAATTGGGCGTTTGGTCGACACATTTTATTCAGATAATAGATTATAGATCTTATATGAGCATTTTATTATAAAACAGTGCCTACATAATGATAGACACATGGAGATCTGCATCAGAGCTCTGCTAATTTGGGGGTTTTGCTAGGGGTTGTAATTTGGGCGCCGGTATTCAGTGTGAAAAATGCTCTGGATTACGCCCTGAGCACTTATGACTAATGTTAATGTTACGAGAATAGCGTTGACAGAAATGCATCGCAGCTACGAGAAAACTTACAATAAAAGGAACTGTAACTCTCCGTAACTCTCTCATAGGAAACCATGGCAAGTTTCTGAAAGATTTCGGGATCGGACACGACAGTCGACTCAAGTGTGACGACTTTTTCCAAGACTTTGAGGTTGTTGTGAACATCATGCAAAGGTATGTAGATCAACTCAGTGAAATGTTCTAGCGTTAATGCCGAATATATGAAATACAAATAACGGGAAGCACTTATTGCTATTTGTATCATATTGTAAATTAGACGCAAACCATTTGGAAACGTAATACAAGGTTTTTAGGGTAATGTATTCTATAACAGACACATTCTTATCATGTTAGATGATCCCTAAAGCTGCGTAAGTGTGCTTTCATTGTGTTATGACTGACCCATTAAAACCGATCTGTTCTATCTACCGTAAATACTGGTCCAGAATACTCCAGACATGAAATTATTCATTGATGATAATACGCTTCTCTAACAATGTAGTCTTGTACCTTCTAGTGAGGATCTAGAGAGAGGTGTGGAGTTTGAGCTGATTGGCAATGTAGCCCAGTTGAAAGCAAAGATGGACGCCAAAGCGGCTAGCGGTTCAACTCCGAGGAATGGCCAACCGAATGGCACCGCAGAAACCACTAGTATGTATCATTGTGCCACGTGATGAAGAATGAACTGGAACTTCAGTTTAAGCGTAAATGCAAATAGGTACAAATAAAAACGATACGGTCAACTTATTTGATCGTTGAAGTCTTGCGATCCACGATGCTATGAGTAAGCAACTACAGTTTCAAGCGTAATCAACACATTGGTAAATCTTCGTATCTGTTCCTATTTTTTTACCTATTTTTAACATTATTTGTATTTTTCTGATTTAGTTTATACTTCTTTTTTCTTAGGCGCAAACAGTGATGTGATAGTTGACGATGAAGAAGACATTGAGATTGAAGAAGAGGAGGTGGAGGAGGATGAGATGGAGAAGGATGAGGAGGAGGGAGCCGGTGACAAGATGCTTAGAAAGAGAAAGGCTGAGAACCTTGAGAAAGATCTCGGGTCGAAGAGACCCCGCGTAGAACCGGACCAGAGTGACGATGATCTGATAGTGCTGTAACGGGAGATGCTGTCACGCTGCTCTGCACAACTGAGATCGCACATTATGGCCACTAGCCGGCGCCACAGTCGCTACTGAGGCACACCTAATCTTGAAATTGAACAGTAGTCGTTCAAGTGCGTGATTTTCACTTGTGAATGATGTGAGCACACTAACACAGCGTGTGGTAGTTGTCGTCTCGCTCTTGTGAATGCTGACGAGAACCCAGGCCAGACGTACGCCTAGATATCGACGTTCTGTAGTCCGGTGGCTAATGGAGCAGGTATGCTTGTCTGTTCTTGCAAGCTGCATCGCGTGCTGCAGAGGTGTCACTATGACGTCACCATCGGGCATCTTGCTCTGTAGTTCACCCTGACATCGATCGCGCATGCATGTATTCGTGATGTCCGCACTGTTTCACGGTCCAAATTCATTTCACCTGCCATAATTTACGGGGGCACACGTGCAGCTGGTCATAGACGAAGAGATATTACGTCGTTTATATTTATTTTATTACTCAATAGTGAATGCCGGTGAGTCTAGTGATTGTGATGTTAACATCCTAGTGGAGGGCTGTCTATCCCGTGCAAAATTCCATCGTCACCTTCTAGACACGTTGTAATCGTGCTGTTATTAAGCAGAGCGAGGGCTACGAGTCGTTCTCTCACAGACAGAAGAGTCGAGTCGGCCGCACGGATGGGGGAGTTTAAATGTTGTCGTAACTCTGCTGTTGTTGTTAAGCGTGTGACAGCTCTCTGCAACTAGGTGATGTACGGCGATTACTCATCGTGCAGCACATTTTCTAGCCATGAATTGCACAAGTGGTTCACATCTACATGTTCTAGAATAAAATGCCCGTTTTGTATGAAAATACCATGCCTCTTTATTGCTATTAATACTCGGTTGCAACATCACCATGTAAACAGTGTGTTCTTTGTGTATTGAACATCTCAAAAAAGGCTCAGCTGATACCTGAGACTGCTACAGACACTTAACTGATACCTGAAGCTGCTACAGAGACTCAGCTGATACCTGAGGCTGCTACAGACACTTAACTGATACCTGAAGCTGCTACAGAGACTCAGCCGATACCTGAGGCTGCTACAGAGACTCAGCTGATACCTGAGGCTGCTACAGAGACTCAGCTGATACCTGAGGCTGCTACAGAGACTCAGCTGATACCTGAAGCTGCTACAAACACTCAGCGGATACCTGAAGCTGCTACAGAGATTCAGCTGATACCTGAAGCTGCTACAGAGACTCAGCTGATACCTGAAGCTGCTACAAATACTCAGCTGATACCTAAAGCTGCTACAAACACTCAGCTGATACCTAAAGCTGCTACAGAGATTCAGCTGATACCTGAGGCTGTTACAGAGACTCAGCTGATACCTGAGGCTGCTACAGAGACTCAGCTGATACCTGAGCCTGTTACAGAGGCTCAACTGATACCTGAGGCTGCTACAGAGACTCAGCTGATACCTGAGGCTGCTACATAGACTCAGCTGATACCTGAGGCTGCTACAGACACTCAGCTGATACCTGAAGCTGCTACAGAGACTCAGCTTATACCTGAGGCTGCTACAGAGACTCAGCTGATACCTGAAGCTGCTACAGAGACTCAGCTGATACCTGAGGCTGCTACAGAGACTCAGCTGATACCTGAAGCTGCTACAGAGATTCAGCTGATACCTGAAGCTGCTACAAACACTCAGCGGATACCTGAGGCTGCTACAGAGATTCAGCTGATACCTGAGGCTGCTACAGAGACTCAGCTGATACCTGAAGCTGCTACAGAGATTCAGCTGATACCTAAAGCTGCTACAAACACTCAGCTGATACCTAAAGCTGCTACAGAGATTCAGCTGATACCTGAGGCTGTTACAGAGACTCAGCTGATACCTGAGGCTGCTACAGAGACTCGGCTGATACCTGAAGCTGCTACAGAGATTCAGCTGATACCTGAGGCTGCTACAGAGACTCAGCTGATACTTGAGGCTGCTACAGAGACTCAGCTGATACCTGAGGCTGCTACAGAGACTCAGCTGATACCTGAAGCTGCTACAAAGACTCGGCTGATACCTGAGGCTGCTACAGAGATTCAGCTGATACCTGAGGCTGCTACAGAGATTCAGGTGATACCTGAGGCTGCTACAAAGACTCAGATGATACCTGAGGCTGCTACAAAGACTCGTCTGATACATGAGGCTGCTACAGAGACTCAGCTGATACCTGAGGCTGCTACATAGACTCAGCTGATACCTGAGGCTGCTACAGAGACTCAGCTGATACCTGAAGCTGCTACAAAGACTCGGCTGATACCTGAGGCTGCTACAGAGATTCAGCTGATACCTGAGGCTGCTACAGAGATTCAGGTGATACCTGATGCTGCTACAAAGACTCAGATGATACCTGAGGCTGCTACAGAGATTCAGCTGATACCTGAGACTGCTACAAAGACTCAGATGATACCTGAGGCTGCTACAAAGACTCAGATGATACCTGAGGCTGCTACAAAGACTCGGCTGATACCGGAGGCTGCTACAGAGATCTTCAATCTGAGAACATACGTCCAAACCACGGCGTGTTGGCATATGAATATATATGAATTATTTACGCGCGCTGTAGAATAGTTATTAATGGCCAACATGTACAGTTAATTGCTACACGTGTAACAGTCCAGATAGAAAGTAGTGGCCACGGTTGAAAGTGAAGTCCCAATAATAAAATATATAAACACTCAAATCTGTAGGAAACGCAGATAAGAATTTTCGTAACTGTGTTACATTCAGGGATTCGCGTATTTCACATAGTCATTTAAACGGCTCTTGAGCAAAAATTGCTGTTCCAAAAAACAACAACCCTAAACTGCTATTAAGGAATACAAATTTCTCATCGAATGACAGGTACAAATAAGTTTGACAGACGACGATGATAGAAACCACAACAACACAATACTTCACACACAGAGTCGGGTACTCACTTCTCCAGTCAGAACGTGTGAGAGGAAGAACAAGAGGAATGTGTATTTATTTGAGATAGCTTAATTGTAGCCTAGTATGTAAGCTATTCTATTAGTCTATAACAACTATCTATAAATGAATGGGTGGTTGATGAGACTGGGGTAAGAAATGAGATCTAGGTGTCTGAAATAAAAATGAATCTAGGTGTATGTCTATCCGCGAGGAGGGAGGAAGAAAGAGAAGTTTTGGGAAGGCGAGAGAAGGGGAAGTGAACGAGAATAAGAGGGAACGAGTCTCTTATTCTCGTTACTTCTCCATTCTCTATCCTTTCCACCACCTCTTTGTTACTCCAACTCCATTGCTTCCTTCCTCCCCTCTCGCGGAATATATCGTCCACGGCAGCAGTAGCACGGGAAATGTTACGCAGGCAAATGGCCGTAAATCGGCTACAACTTTTTCACCCCCCCCCCCCGACCCTCAAAATGTGTCACACGAGTCACAAAAAAGTTGAATTTTCAAGTTATTGAAGAAAATAGAAAGAGTAGTAACAAATGCTTGATACTGGTAATTCTTCTAGTGCTACCTCTTCAGTTTAGTCGAGTATATTTTTATTTATCCTGCAAGAAAAAACCACCTCAAACATGTTACGCAAGTCACATATGTGGGTTGTCACGCGAGTCACGTGCCTGCACTGTGTACCGTTATGAGAGGAATGATGTTTTTTTAAACAAATATACAATTTGGGAAGTAAGCACTGACACTTTGAACATACAACCACATGAAAGTTACTAATAAAAATGAAAATACTCGCAAACTATTCTGCGTGACTCGCGTGACGGGCTACTAACATATGTTTTGAAGAAAAAGTTAATACTTAGTTACTAGTTTCTACCATATGATTAATTGTGAAAACAGGGAAAGTATTGTAAGTCTCAGCTTTGGGAAGAATGGTGCATATGCTACGCATGGGATGTCAACATACAATATTTTCCCTGTTTTCATAATTAATCATGTATGGTAGTAAATAAATATTAACTTTTTCTTCAAAATGCAACAGTCATCAAAATTCTGATTACCCTAACATTTGTTATTGTTAACGCTATGAGCTGCTATGTCACGCGAGTCACATACTTAGGAGGATGTTGCTTACTCTAGAAGAGGTTTTTAGCAGTGCAAACGATGTATGCAGTAATCAATGGTATTGGGTACCTAGTTCACCAGGAATAACTCAGATCAAACTTATGGTATTCTACAAAAAGTAAAGTGTGAAGTATACTTCAAAACGTGTTAGTGGCCCGTCACGCGAGTCACGCAGAATAGTTTGTAATATCTGAGAAAATATTAGTGTGGCTGCAATAACTTCAATGCTAAAATATGCATAACTGTTCCTTTGCTAAAATAGTTTCTTAAAACAAGTAGCAGCAAGCTAATATAGGACTGCCAGACCATTATAAGTGAGATTTTTGTAGAAATGTCACGTAAGTCACGGTAGAATGGCTGATATGAAAGAGAGATAGGAATTATTGAGACAGAGAAAAAAAAGAGAGTTAGAGAACAAGGAGGGAGGGCATGAAGGAGAGTAAAGTGAGGGCACGAGAGGGAAGCAGCGATAACGGGCGGTGGCATGTGTAAGTAGGTACGATAAGCTACGTTCCTTGCTAATCCATCTCTATGATTTACAGGCTGCGCCATGTACAAACAATCTCAGATGTGATGGGGGCTACTATAAGGAAAACAACTGGAGAGACATCTTGGTAGACAGGAGAGATGGGCTCACAGCAGTGGGGTGTGCTGGGACTTGTTCGTCGCAGTCGGAGCTAAGATATTGTTGTTTGTGTAATTCAACACCTGATTACGCATAATAAATACAACACTAGTGGGAAGGAGAGACACAGTCAAAGAAGTATTGCTATATATATATAGAATATAATTCGTAACCAAGAAGCCCAGAACACCAGCCTTTCTCCAGCAAAGTAACGCCAGGTGTCCCAAAAACAAGGAAGCATGGACAAGGAACTCTCAGAGAAAAATCTTTTCTTAGGTTGAATGGATCTGGTACAAATAGTGTAGTCAGTTGCAATGTATATAAATATGACTATAGCATCTGACTTATCAGAAGACGATGCACACCATTGTCCAGCTTACATCATGTGGAGGCAGATCTATCTATTGACTCACTACACGGCTCGAAATGTCACCTTGGACCAATCCAGAACATCAGCTTTCGAGTGACAACCTCAATGGGTGGAATTTCATCACCAGTCAAGAAGAATGAAGAGTATTACTCGGTTCAGTTGGAATACCAGTTGCATGCAACCTCATGACTCGCCGTCACATCAACTTTGCTGGCCCTCAGATGAAGACTACCCAACCAAGTTGATACCTGATTCCATGATATATATGCAGATATATACGACACATGTATATATCCTATGGAAGAGAATAGCCTTTCATAAGTCCATAGTGAGAAGGTGAGCTTCCTCTTCCACCCAAGCTATAAGTTGCCCAGGTTTTAGTTTTACCAACCATTGAATGTATGCGTCCCTCCATCTGAGATGCATCAACAAGGCAAACAAAAACAGCAAAGAGATGATCCAGTGATCGATGAGCTGCTAATTTCATCACCAACTCCACTACCACCAACACCATTGAACTACTTATGGAGACAGTGTCATCGCCGTGCAAGAGCCACCTGGGAAGAGCAGCGGCCAAGTGATTGGCGCTCAGGACTTCAGGCTGAAAAGTCCGGAATTCGGAAAAAGTCTGGAGTCCCACCTTGATTACTGCTCTTGCGCCCATGAGCAAGGCACTTTATTCCAGTTTGCTTGGAGAAGGGAGTGACTTTCATAAGTCACTAGTGAGGAGATAAGCTTCCTCTGCGACCCTAGCTACAGGGTGTACTTGGGCAAGGCATAGCACCTGTTTAGCCTCCCGTGCCAGGGTTACGGTGAAGATGTCTAATGTAGTAGAGATGTGCAAGTGACTGACCACAGCATTGACCTAATTGGAGGGAAGACGAAACATAGCTAAAGGAGTGCTGCTCTGCTAGATAATCCACAACGAAGAAGGTAAATAACACCAGCATCTTTCTCCCATTAAATATCTGCTAGTGACCCAAGAAGATGACGACGACTTGTTTTCTAGATATTACGGCACAATCAAAACTAATTCAGTGAATTGTAATATATAGAGATAAACGTGTTTGTATCAAATTCATTGATCAATATTATAAGACGTTATCTGGTTGGCAGAAGCAAAATTTTTCAGCAATTTCAACCAACTCTATACATGTTCTGTCACTTTGATGGTATCTGTTTTCAGATAATTGGATAAGAGGAGGGATAATTGGTGCCAGTGTGTTGAGTCATGAGGCTGGGATTGGAGCAAGATGTCTTTTCCTCCATTCAAACACCATGCATGCTTATCATTTGGACCAGCAATACAAAGTGAGTAGTTCCTTTTCGTGTCTTAGGGAAGAGCGTGTCTTGTGGGCACGTTGTAAGGTGCAGCATGTAGTGAGAAAGTATGAGAGATAGTAAAGGATGGGGGATGTATACATATATGCGTGCATGCGTTCATGCATGTGTGTGTGTCGAGAAAGAAAGAGGGAGAAAGAAAGTTTTTTAGCTCATCTGACATAGTCAGATGCAGCTTGTAGAATCGCATGATTGTGCGTCCGTGCGTCCGTCCGTCAACAGTTGGGCACAAATCTTAACCGTTTGACGTACGGTCACGATATTCGGGACCTGGGGGGTCATCCGAAAACGAGTTGGAATGTTGAAGCTGGGGGTCAAAGGTCAAAGGTTAAGAGGTGTAAAAGAAGGGGGAACATTCCCTCCTTAACTTAAGGTATAGGGAGGAAATGCAGAATTGCGGCACAAATCTAAACGGCTCGACCTAGGCTCGTGATAGTTAGCATCATGGTAGGAAAACACTGTGGCTGAAATTAGAGTCACAGGTCAAAGGTCAATGGGGCACAGGGCAGATTTTAGACATTTTCTGAGGACATGGTCTGACGGAGCGATTGAAAAACTTTTTTGTTTCAGCGGTGACCTACCATTTTTATTGGCTGTATGAAAGGAACATGAAATGTACTTGTACTTTCCACTGACATGCGAAGAGTAAGTGTCGGATAACCTTTTGACCCACAAGAGGAGGGTTAAACATGGATTTTTGACTGTTAACAAAGGACTGAACTGCTTTTACTATTAGAGCCCCTCCACATGCCTCTCCCCCACCCTCCCCCCCTTCCGCCTCCCCCCCACCTCTCCTCCACCACCACCACTACGCTCGCGCTCGACGCATATCCTTGATAACATGTTAATATAGCGAAGTCAATAAAGTTACATAGCTGTATCTTTACTACTGTACTACCAGTAGGTATAGCCTATCATAGATTTTAGATCTGTATTAGTAGTATCCTAGATATATGCTCTGAGCGCGAACGCGGTGGCAGGAGGGCGCACTTGATTCGGTTGCCAGTGAGTTTATCAGAAGAATACCTGGCTACAGTACACGTCAGTTGAGCGTTGTCGCTCTGCGGCACTTGTTGTTGTTTATGAAAATTTCCAATTTTATGGTTTTATCAAATTAATTTGGTCTGTCTGAACTGTTATATTTGGAATCAAACATGAGAAATGTAAATTATATGAAATATCCATAAATGTGTTGACTGAAATGATCCATTATAATGCCTCCTATAACGGGTTGCTCACTAATGTAATCACCTATACTTACGCAAGAATTTTTAATTTTTTTAATTTTTGTTGACCAAGGTTGACATGATGATGCTTCCTTGTGTCGGGAACATTTTGTTCCTTACAAGGCTTACTAGTCCGGGTTCGCAGTCCTCCGGGCGGGGTATTTTTATTGTGACACCATCACTTACACAATTACACAATAATAATCTCACACACATTGCAGTTTTGTCTTTACTGTTGTTACAGAACAAGGAACCAGGACTTCAAACTCAAGACTTCAGGACTTCAGGACTTCAAGACTTCAAGACTTCAACACTGCCACACCCACGGATCAGCACACACCCTATACACACCTATCACGCACCGCCCCTACATTAAGCATTCAATATAGGGCTAGCAGCATCATGTCAATCACCAGCGCGTGGTCTCCGACGACAGTCACCATCGCGCAGGCCGTGCGCTTCCTCTCTTTAGGAATCAAGTTTAGAGGGTGGGTCAGGATCGGTTTACGTTCGCGTGTGCCAGGGGGTGAGACAACACCTTAGCTGGTCAGAGCATGGGAAATCCCACCTCCCCCCTCCCAAGAGCGTGGGAGTTGGGGTTGGGGTGTCCGGCTCGCAGGTTTACCCTGGCACAATCGCATAATAGGTTGAATGACGTCGTCGACGCTAGGGCGAGCGCGATACGTTGGGCGTGCGTAGCGCGCAACCATACTCCCCGCAAATACAATATTCATGTCATAGCTGCAAGGGTATATACAGTGTACGGATATATATAAATATGTGTGTGATATATAACGGTTATATATGTACCTAGCTACAATCTTATGCGTTTACATGTTGTACTCACATACAATGTACTCAGGTGTTTGTGTCTATATGTTGTTAACCGCGCGGAAAATTTGGTTGCGCGGTTTAGTTCGAGTTTCACGCGCCGGGGACTTTGGCGCCTACGAGACGTTAACACTTAACTTACTAGCATTTAAACCAATTTATTAACGTTAAAGCCAATTCACTCGCTTCAAATTCAACTCGTATGCGTCAGTAGTACGCAATTTGCAGCAAAAATAACGTCACGTAAATTGTACAGTTTCAAAGTTGTAATTTGCAGCAACCCAATTGCCACTAGATGGCATTCGTTGGCTATTAGTGAAGTGATTCACTGGTGACCATCGTCGTAGATTTGGAAGCAAATTGATTCGTTTCATGTTCATTTTATTTGGTACTGTATTTGCAATTGTGTGTATTGTATTTTCTAGGTGTTAGTTTTTTCAGATGGATGATTGCCGAGAATGACCGTGAGTGTAACAGGGGTAGCGAAGGGGGAGGGGGTGGAGTGGGCGACGAGGGGAGGGGGAAGGGGCGGAAAGTAGGGGTGGGGGAAGAGGTCAAGGTGGGGGAGGGCAGGGGATTAGGATAGGGGA